TTTTTTTTTTTTTTTTGTCACTTTTGGTTCTTACGCAACATCATTTCATTTTTACATTTGCCAAATGCTCCTACTGAAGAGTTTGAAACAGGATTGCTGCAAGTACTAAAGACAATTGCAAAACACTTTGATCAGTACAGCACCTCTGTGGTCCTCTTGGTGCTGTGATCATTTTCAGAAAAATTTTAGGGCAGATCCCTACTCGGAGAAGAAAACCAGCCCTCTAAACAATATCAGCACTGGGTAGCCTTTTTCTTTATACTGAGGAGCCCATGTTTTCTCAGTGCAGGGTTTCTTTGGGTTATAAGCTTTGCTCACATGTTGAAATGTGAGTCCACCCACTTGAACTTTCTTAGGAACATACTGGTTGTGTCTGCCATGGGTGATGAGAGATTTATGAGCCGAGAAGTCACTCAGTGTCTGCCTCCATTAGTGAAACACACCCTTGTCATTCTGAGGAGCCTTTGAAATGTCCAAAGGGAAAATTGCCAGCCAGTTGGTGACACATCCCTGGCCTTTCCACAGACAAGATAAAAGTTGGAAGGACATTATTCTAAATTGTTAGTTGTGGTAGCCCTGAAGTCATGTTAGACAGTGTCACACTATGGGGACCCACTCACTGACTCCAGGACACGTTCAAGGGGAGAGGATATTGAGGCAGACTTGTAGAATTCTTTACTATAGAGGCCAGGCTGCCACCCAGGCAGTGTCTGTGTTGGTACTCTGCATCTCCAGTGAAGCCTGAGCTAAGGGAAATGGGACCAGCTCTCCCTTAGCTCCAACACCACCATAGCTGGCTTTGGACATTGAGAAGTACCTTTCTTGGGACATGGGCTTCCCTCTGCTAAAAGATGCCCAAATCCTTCCTACATCCCTGCTCAGGAAACTCATTACTGTAGCCCACCCTAGTTAGTCCAGGCAGGCCACTCTTTAAGACCCACATCCTTGCTGAGACTTTCTTTCACCAGATCGCCTGGCCTTGCTTTCCTCTGTCACATAGTACTAGCCAGAAACACTAATTTCTAAAGAAAACAGTGTCACCTAGTGTTGGAAAACTAAAATTACTCCAGCTGCCTTAGTTTGAGGGGCATCCCCTGCCTCTTCCCATGTTACCTACCTGCTCAGAAACTTATAGTGTGTTTACCGCTAGATTCTTGAGCTGTCCCAGGCTGTTCTTCTGACCTTTTTCACAGGAGCCTACAAATGGCCTGTAGGGGGAGTGTATCGTGAGTTGATGAGTGGCAGTACTACTATGCCCTGCATTTAATCAGATTGACATATTTTCTCTTGAAAATATGTAGTGGGGCTCAATATAAGATTTTATTTTTAAAAATCATCTTGCTGGAGAAGAGTTTTTTAAAAAATCACTTTCTTATACAAAATTTACTTTACCTACAACTCAGCTTGTTCTCTACTGGGCTTGGATGTTTCATTTGGCTGCTGAAGGTCTGGCAGCATGAGGGACGGCCCCCGCCCCACATCTGATTTCTTGACAGTGCCACATAAGTCATTCCTTAATTAACCATACCATATACCAGCCTCTAAGATGTGCATCTTCCCGTGTGTGTCCCATGTTGCATCTTCCCTCCCCAGGAAGGTTATGGTCACTGACAGAGGAACATTGCTGTTCTGTCTGTGTCTCCCTGCAGGTTCGAGAAGATGATCAGTGGGATGTACATGGGCGAGCTGGTGAGGCTTATCCTGGTGAAGATGGCCAAGGAGGAGCTGCTGTTCCAGGGAAAGCTCAGCCCAGGGATCCTCACCACAGGCAGCTTTGAGACCAAAGATGTTTCAGACATTGAAGAGTAAGTTTTTGCTACCACCGCCTCTGCTCAGTGAGCCACTGGATGTGGGGACAGGTGTCTAGGGAGACAGGAAGACGATTTGGCTCTGACCTTTTATGCAGGGCCACAGAGGGTCTCACAGAGGCCCATGGCACACTCCATTTGCTGGGCTCCATGCATGTTGATGTTGAGAGTCATACTGAAGTGACTCAGTGCTGGGAACGGTTGGCTCCCAAGTATTAGGGCTGGGATGTTGCACCGGGTTGACTGCTAAAGGCATCAGAGAGGGCACTTAATAATTGGTTTGTTTCTCTCTCCATGCCTTTCCCCTGAAGCTCTGACCTCACATCCTCATTAGAAATTCGCAAAAAGGACTATCCCAGTCGGGGATGATGGCACCTACCTGTAATCCCAGGACTCTGAGAGGCATGAAGTTGCAAGTTCAAGCCCAGACTTAGCAACATAGTGATTTAGTGCAACCTTGTCTCAGAGAAGACCCATCCATTCACAGTGCAGTCGGGGCAGACATGAGGTCCAATTTTTATTTTTAAGGAAACATTATCACAAGAGTTGGGCTTAGTTGTCTGTTTGTGAGATTTCCTCTTGTAGACTGAGGAGGCCCTGTGGTTTCAGGGTCCAGTTATAGAGAGGAGGTGGTTCTAGAACCAAGGGGGTCAATGAGCAAAGTTTAAAGGATTTTCTTGTAAGTAAAAACCCTAAAGGAACTGTGCCTTCCTGTTGCTAAGCCCCAGGAGAAGAGTATTCACACTAGCTAGTCATTTCCTCCCCTGTGAAGGGTGCTTAACTGAGGGTGTGCCAGCCTTTTACCAGCAGCTTCAGGCACAAATAGACTCTGGCTGCTCTAGAGTGAAAACAGCTCAGTTCCCTCATTCAGAGGTGGCTGATGGCAGAGGCTCCATTTGTCTGTGCTATTGTGAGCAAATAGCCCTAACTCACCAGCTCTGTGTAAAGCACTGCAAACAAGGCCTTGTCCTCAGATTGCACATACAGAGAAATACTAAGTTTTTTTCTCTTTATCGGTGTTGGGGGGGGAAGGGGCACCAGACATTGGCCCCGCCCCACACAGCTGTGATGAGGGATTCTGCCCTCCCTGGGAGATGGAGTTTGCTGGAGCTGAGACTTCCTTGCCAGCCCACAGTGGCCACACGCTTGCGCACAACATCATCTTTCTGTTTGCCAGGGAGAAGGATGGCATCCAGAAGGCCTACCAGGTCCTGGTGCGGCTGGGCATGGATCCCCTGCAGGAGGACTGTGTGGCTACCCGCCGGGTCTGCCAGATAGTGTCCACGCGCTCTGCCAGCCTGTGTGCAGCCACACTGGTGGCTGTGCTGCGGCGCCTCAAGGAGAACAAGGGCGGGGATCGGCTGCGCTCCACCATCGGGGTTGATGGATCCGTCTACAAGAAGCACCCTCAGTGAGTCAGCGTCCCTGGCCTGGAGGTGATGGAGGCCCGAGAGTACTTGGGACTGGTGACTCCATGGGCCAGTCCAGTGTGCATTCCATGGAGTTGAGGATCTATGTAGGATAAAAGTGTCCACTGGGCGGGTGGGAGCTGGAAGAAGTCATCCCTGGCACGTATGTATGGAGGTGATTTCTGGAGGCTACTGACATGGGCTCTGCTCAGCTCTCCCTGCTGCTGGGTGCTCTCCCTGCCACCTCTTTTTTATGAATTAGTTTTCATTCTTTACTCTTACGTGACTCTTAGCAGATCCTACAGGTGCTGTGTCCTCTTCTAGGGGCCACCCCAGCCTAATGGGTTACTGTAGTGGGTTATTCTCTCGGCTTATTTTGGTATTAAGTTGATCCCACTTTGTCCACGTTTTGATTCCGCTCCCATCGTATATACTAAAATGCTCCAATTTCAGTTGGGACCTGGAAGACACTTCTCAGTTGTGCTCATGGTTTTCCCATCATTTTTTCCTAATGTGAGTGTCAGATCAATGGACCTTCATTAACTGAATGGAAAATGTGAAAGTGACCCTGGAGGGTCCCTAGTCTCCTAACATAAAGCCTCAAGAACTTCAACGTACATGTGCATCCTATGGGGATCTTGTTAAGAGGCTGCTTCTGGGCCAGAAGTTCTAGAATGAGCTGGGATTCTGTATCTCTAACAGTCCCCAGTGAGGTGCTGCCCATAGACCACACATGGCATAGCAAGACCATGGCTCCATTCAGCTACCACCTGGAGAGGTTTTTGCTGAATTTTCCCGTTGTGCTCAGCTCTTCAGATACTTTTGGGATCTTTGGGAGAAACAGGCCAGAAGAAAGGCATTTCTGGCTGTTCTGTTTAGTGCCCTTCCTAGGGAACATCAAATGAAACAAATGATAGAAATGAAAAGTAAATGGCATCAGAGCCATGTAATTCCTTCAGGCTGCTCAGCAGAGATTGTTTGTAGCTTACTGAGCAGAGGAACTGATGTGCAGGCCAGCTTGATGAGGAAAAAGGAAGTCTCATGTGACTGTATGCAGGGATTGGTAGCTTGTTTAGAAGGGTTCTTTCCTTTCAGTGGGGGATAAACTCAGGCAGGGTTGGTCACAGTCAAGTTACCTGAGATTTTTCACAGTGGCCCCTAATTTAGGAGAAGGGAGAGAGGAGGTTGAGGATAGCATCTGCTTCCACAGGGGTCTCCTAGTGTTTGGGGTTGAAGCAGTCAGCCATTGGGCAACCATTTGTATCACAGCTCTTAACTGTGGACACCTGTCTCTCTCCCCCTTTGGTGGCTGCAGTTTCGCCAAGCATCTTCACAAGGCAGTGCGGAGGCTGGTACCTGACTGCGATGTTCGCTTCCTCCGCTCTGAGGATGGCAGTGGCAAAGGGGCAGCCATGGTGACTGCGGTGGCTTATCGGCTGGCTGACCAACACCGAGCCCGCCAGAAGACCCTTGAGTCTCTAAAGCTGAGCCATGAGCAGCTGCTGGAGGTCAAGAGAAGGATGAAGGTTGAGATGGAGCGAGGTCTAAGCAAGGAGACACACACCATTGCCCCTGTGAAGATGCTGCCCACCTATGTATGTGCTACCCCAGATGGCACAGGTATGATGTAGCTGCCTGACCTGGTGTTGATGCTCAGAAAGCATAAACCGTGGACATTCAAACCAGAATTTCTTCAGCTATTTTACTTTAAGTGAATGTTAGTGTTTCGTATAGTCAACCAGGGGTTCCCGGAGAAAATCAAACAGTAATATTAGTCAGTAGTTACATAGTGCTTATTATGTGTTAACATATCCATTATATATTAATTCATTTAGTATTTTCTAACTGTTAAAACTTTGAAATTAATTTCTGCCATGTTTGGCAGAAAACAGAGGAACTTGCCCCAAGATCATACAATTGGTAAATGTCAGCTGGAATTCAAATGTAAGACTCTAGGCTCCAGTGCCATCTCTCATAACCATCACATCAGTCTGGGTCAGGAGGGAGCCCAAAAAGTATATTCCACCGGCCAATTTGGCCCTTGCCTGTTTTTGTAAATAAAGTTTTATTAGTAAGCAGCCATACCATCTGTCTATACAGCATTCATAGCTTCACACTCTCCTGCCAATGTTGGATGGCTGAAACAAACTATATAGCCTACGTAGCTTAAAACACTAGCTGTCTGCCAGATTTTTGACTTCTTATATAGGTCTTGTAACCTAAAAAATTATCTTTCCCAATTCAGAGAATGACTGATGAGGAGGTCACCATAGCATGGTTAGTGAGGTTCTAGAGGTTGAAACTGGAGTGTGGTTCCTGCTCAACTTTTTCTACCATTGTAGCCCTGAGCAAGTGACTTTGCCAGCTCAGCCAGATCTTGGTTGACCATGAAAGCAATGAGATGCCTCCATCCCAGAAATGCCTAAGCGTTGGATGAGGACTGTACGTGAGGCTTTTTGGCACATTGAACTTGCCCAAAAACGGGGAGGGGTTCTTACTTTAAAAGATTTCTCTTCAACTTCCTTTAAAGATCTATACTCTATTCTAGAGTCTAACCTAGGGTGGCTTTTGACTTGGCACAATGGTGTGTTTATAGATAGTTTTGAGTGTATTGTGTCAACGTTCCCCATGTTTTGGGTCCCCACACATGGACTTTTATGAGAGCCACTAACCAGTCGGAAGGGATGTGGTGGTGGGGGGGAGTCTTAATCATCTTCCCTAATAGGGGGAGCTCACAGCATTTCCCCCTGAAATTTGAGCTCTAAGGAGGACCCCCATTCAGTGGATGGAGCATGAAATCTGTCACTCTGCCACCCCAATTCATCATCTTCCTGGGTTGATATTTTTCAGAGAAAGGGGACTTCCTGGCCTTGGACCTTGGAGGAACGAATTTCCGGGTCCTGCTGGTTCGTGTGCGGAATGGGAAGCGCCGAGGAGTAGAGATGCATAACAAGATCTACTCCATCCCACAGGAGGTCATGCATGGCACTGGAGAGGAGGTGAGGCATGCTGACACCCCAGGAGGGCCCAATAGACTTCTTGGCTTCAAGAACAACACTGTCTCTGCTCAGCCATGGCCCCAGAGAGGGCTTAGTGGGGTTGTGATGCCAGTCTGTTTCTCCCTGGGTCTGAGACTGAGCTGAGCTTGTTGCTTCTGGGTAGAAACCTTGAGCTTGGGCTCAGGCCCTGCTGCAGGCAGCCTGCTCTGAGGAGAGCCTGTCTCTCAGCACCCCAACCTCTCCCTGCAGCTCTTTGACCACATCATCCAGTGCATCGCTGACTTCCTGGAGTACATGGGGATGAAGGGCGTGTCTCTGCCTCTGGGTTTCACCTTCTCCTTCCCATGTCAGCAGAACAGCCTGGATGAGGTAACGCTGCCTTCCTGGAGCACTTTCCAGGGCCTTCTGTAATAGACTAGATGAGCCCAAGTTTAGAGCTGGGGAGAAAGCTGAGCTAAGAGGAGGGAAAAGAGGGCCCAAGTGACCATTAGTAGGGGGCCTTCCTGGTGGGGATGAATTGATCAAGGCTAGTGGAAGTTAATAGTTTAGCTTGGCTGCAGTAGTTGTTTGGGACAGTGATGAAAATGATGATCAAAATTAAAATACTACTCAACTGTAAGCACTTTTTTGCCATGTGCTATATTGGCTTCCTGAGTGCATGATCTCCTTTAATCCTCACAGCAACCATATAAGATAGGTGTTTGTGTATTCATGTTGTCTGGATGTGGGTGTGTAAGCCAGGGCTCTATAGGGATGTGCTTTGTTCCTCTGAATCTCATGACACATCCAGGTTGATAAAATGCCAAGCTGACGGGCATGAAGCACTGAGCGAGTGCTGGAGGCACCGTGCAAGGGGGTGGTAGGGAGCACACAGCTCACTGGCAACTTCTAGAAAGGACCTGGGTATACTTGAAGCTGGCTCCTCGTGGCTGCCAAATAATGCTATCCTACTCCTCGTTATGCCTCAGGCTAGTTTTGTTGTCTCCTCATGAGGATGCTCTGGCTCTTCTCTGGTTCCACCTTTACTTCCCATTCCCCTTCAGCTTGCATCGGGTGTAGGAAATAGGTGGCTACAGGTCTGGTGCTCCTGGATGTTCTGCCCTAAGATGTAGAAGATCGAGCAGGCAGTGCTTGGACGTAGGCTGCTGACTTAGGCTTGAGAGCACGGTTATTTGAGTGGTTGCTTCTCTCTGTGTCAGTCACGTAGAAGCCCACATGCATGCCAAAGGTGTACGGTTTGCTGCGGGTGCAGCTGCCAGTAAAGAAGGCATGGTTGCTGCTGCCTTAGATACTTTCAAGTAAACTGGGCTGATAAAGTAAGCTCAGAATAGTATAAGCTGCATTTTGGAACATGCACTATGGAATGCTACAGTCCTGAGGACGCCAAAAGAATAAGGAGTATGTAGAAAAGTCAGGAGAAAGTTGTTTCGCAAAACTTTTCTTGAAAAATAATAATCTCTCACAATATAGACAAATATAAAAAATGATTGCTGTTAATTGTTTCTATGTGAATCATAAGATTCCAGGTCACCTTGTTGGATTTTATTCTGTTTCAATTATTGTGTAAGAAGCACGTGTGAAGTCTAGCATCATAAGAAGGAAGAGCGTAGTGGGAGGCAGTTCCTTCTGTCCGGCTCATCCTGCTCGTGTGGGGCCAGCAGGTGAGGTGTCAGAGAGGCCCAGGGGCATCCAGCTGTACTTTAGCACCACTAGCCTTGGGCAATCTCCCCAGCTGTTGGGACCTGTTCTTGTCTTATTACAAGGATCACTTGAGATGATGTTATTTGAACATTCTGTAGACTTTTATTTATTTATTTATTTATTTTTGTTTTTGTTTTTTTTAAATTTTATTGAGTTTATTGGTACATTTTAGGGATACAGTACAGTTACATTCATTGTTGGGATCATGTACCTCTACATGGCAAGTCTTGATTCTCATTTTTTCCCCTTACCTCTGCCCTCCCTTCACCCCCTCCTCCCCTCCCCATCTACAAACACTTTATTTTCATCTTTTCATTCTCTCACATTTTTTTCTTTTCTCTTTTTGTCCTTCCCCTATGCATCACACCTTCCCTACACCTTTAGCTCCTTTCTTCAAATTTCTAAATGTCAGTAATCTTATTAGAATCTTATGCATTGTTGCAGAATATTCACACCAGGGAAACTATTTGGTATTTACACATGTGTGACTTATTTATTTCACTTAGGAGTATATCTTCAACCATTTTCCTATGAATGAATCTATTCTCTCGCTCTTTATGGCTGAGTAATATTCCATTTTATAGAAAAACCACAACTTCTTTATCCAGTTTCCAACGGATGGGCAAATAGGCTGTTTCCAAGATTTAGCTATTACAAACTGTGCCGCTATAAACATGGGTGCACATACTTCTCTGTGATATGATTCTTTTAGTTCTTTTGGAAAGATACCCAGCAGAGGGATTTCTGGGGCAAATGGAACCTCCAGTCCAAGCTCTTTGAGGTATCTCCATATTGATTTCCATAGTGGTTGCACTAGTCTGCGCTCCCACCAACAATGGAGGAGGGTTCCTTTCTCCCCACAACCCCGCCAACATTTGTTATTGTGTGATTTCTTGATAGCAGCCATTCTTTGTGGGGTGAGGTAGAATCTCAGTGTTGTTTTCATCTGCATCTCTCGAATGACCAGTGATGTGGAACATTTTTTCATATATTTTCTTGCTGCTTTTACTTCTTTGTCTGAGAAATGTCTGTTCATTTCGGATGCCCATTTTTGAATTGGGTCTTTATATTTGGGGGGACTGATTGTTTTTGAGTTCTTTATATATCCTTGATAATAGTCCTTTGTCTGAGGTACAGCTGGTAAAATTTTTTTCCCACATTGTAGATTGTCTCTTAGTTCTCCTGATGGTTTCTTTTGAAGTACAGAAGCTTTTTAGTAAGATGAGGTCCCAGTTGTTGATTCTATCTGCTAGTTCCCGTGCTACTGAGGATTTGTTCATAAAGTCTTTTCCTATACCAATTAGACTTTTATTTATCTGGTGCTGAGAATGGAACTCAGGGTGTCATGCATGCTAGGTAAGCACTGTATCACTGAGCTACACCCCCAGCTCTTGTAAACTTTAGAATGTCAAATACAAACCTTTGCCAGAGAAGTGAAGCTAACTAATAGACAAGAGAGGTGGATGGAAATAAAAACACCCTAGTCGGGATGTGGATGTTTAAATTAAGGCCCTCACAGGGACGTACTGTGTTCTTCTAAATCTCCTGGGACACACCTGGGTTGATAAAGTGCCAGGTTCATAGGCACGAACCACCAAAGAAGCCCTGGAGACAGGAGTGGGTGGTAGTGAGCACATAGCCTCCTGGTGAGTTCTGGCCTCTTGGGAAAGGGATCTGGAGATACCGGTGCTGGTTCCCAATGGCTCCGGGAAGAAAAGACCCCTCTCAGGTGCTATAACGTCAGCATCTGTTCCCCAGATGATCCAGTGACACTGAAGGACCACATTAAAGGTACTCAGGGATTCTGCAGATGGTGGAGAGCTTCCCTCACTGAGAAATGTAGGACAGCAGCAAACTCTAGACATCCTCTCAGCTATGGCAGGAGCGTTTATTTATGGAATGCTAGAGTAAAAATTAAGAGACACCCATGACCACTTTTGACAAATGACAGGGTAACTGCTTTGCCCAGTGGAGGAACAAGTGCGTAAGGACACTTGCTCAGTGCTATGAGCCCATTCATGGAGGTGAGGTTCTCCTGTCTTCAAACTGTAGGTCTGTCAGGTTACATCAGTGCCTTGGTTACTTGTCAAGTGGTGTGATTGTGGTAAGTGTTCTACAAGGTTGCTGTGAGGATTAAATGTTGTGATACCCAGTAGGTGGTGCACAATAGGTACTCAGTAAATCCAAGTGAGTACCTAAGAAACAGGTTTAGGATCCTTTGTAGGTGAGATTTCTGGTTATTCCAGGGAATGTGTCTCATCTGTGAGTTTGAGGTCTAGAAGCACAGCCAGGCTCCAGAAATGACCCAGGAAGCCTCTCTGATGTTGTCTCCCCATGCACATGTGATTTTCAGAGCATTCTCCTCAAGTGGACAAAAGGCTTCAAGGCATCTGGCTGTGAGGGTGAGGACGTGGTCACCCTGCTGAAGGAAGCGATCCACCGGCGAGAGGTAGGAGAGGCACAGTGTGAGACCTCCTGTGTCAGTTTCTTCATGCTTGAAGTGAAATGTGTTTCAAAAATGGGTGCAACATTGAGTTCTGTTGCTTCGGTTGGAGGAAAATTAATTTAGCCACTTAGCAATGGTTGAACATCTCCTGTTAGCTCTGCTCTGGGTATAGGGATTCATGAGTGACTACAATAAGATCTAGCTCAATAATCAAAAGCCTGACCCAGTGATGAGTGCCATCAGGGCTATGAAAGAAAAAAAAAAAAAAAAAAAAAGATGGACGAGAGCAATCAGGGAATCTAACTAGCACAACCAGGGACCAGGTCTCTCTGAGCAGAGACTTGAATGGGATGAGAGAGTAAACTATGATATGAGTTATTTTATGCACATATAAGTCTCCATTACAGATGTCTGATAGTTGAATATTTGGGTTCATTTGTGGACTAGATATCTGCTTCTGCCCTCTCAGGAGTTTGACCTGGATGTAGTTGCGGTGGTGAACGACACGGTAGGAACTATGATGACCTGTGGCTACGAAGACCCTCACTGTGAAGTTGGCCTCATCGTTGGTAAGGACACCAACTACCCTTCCCTCATGGGGACGCTCAGTGTCGGATGGGTGGAAGGCAGGTGTGAGCGAGATGCCCTTCTGATCGGTAGGCACGGGCAGCAATGCCTGCTACATGGAGGAGATGCGTAACGTGGAGCTGGTGGACGGAGAAGAGGGGCGAATGTGTGTCAACATGGAATGGGGGGCCTTCGGGGACAACGGATGCTTAGATGACTTCCGCACCAAATTTGATGTGGCTGTGGATGAGCTCTCCCTGAACCCTGGTAAACAGAGGTAGGCATGCAACTGTGTGGGCCACACAACCCAGAACTGGCTGCAGCTAGTGATCAAGCGATCAGAGCCTTCACCACAGCCCCCAGGATGCTTTCTCTGTTGAGTTGCTAATGGGTTTCCTTGGAAGAGTTTCTTGTGAAAAATACCTGGAAAATTCTGAATTGGCAAATATAAGCAGACCTTGGAGAACAGGAAGGAAAGCATTGGAACCCAGGTCTTGAGACTCTAAGGAACAGAAATGGAAAGTGGGACCACCCACTGCCCTGGGAGAAGCACTGCTGGGTTGACCCCTGCAGGAGCCAATCCTTTTATCCTCTTCAGCCATCCGGCATCTGCTGCCCTCTGTTGCCAGTGTCACAACACCCCATGGATAGTGGTGGTGTGGCCATGGGGAGGTCTCAGCTGAGGGACTGTGAGTTCTGACACATATCCCATTTGGAAGAAGTTATCTGTAGGGTTTCCTAGGTGGATTAATCAGGAATCCTAGTCCTACAGAACACACTTTGCAAGACATTTGTTTACCATACAGTTCCCAGGCTAAATAAAATGCCTCTGGGAAGAGGCTGCAGTAAGGTAAGATAGACCAGGTTTTGGGGATTTTGACTTTGTGAAAGGCACTATGCTAGATCAAAAGACCCCTCAAACCATGTCATAGTCACCCCCAGCCAGCTCCAGTGGTCACCTCGAGGATCTGCAGCCGGCGCTAGTAACATGAGAATACTGATCAGGTCCAACAGAAAGCATGCTACCTGCCTAGTGGAGTTCAGGATTAAGAGTCAGTGGGCTCAGTGAGCATCCTTCCCTGTTCCTGGAGGTGTGGTGGAGTTTTGGTGTGTATTCCTTCTTGAGGAGTGGAAATAAGCCCTGAAAAGGAAATGAGCCTAGACGGTGGGGTCAATCTGAAGGAGCCCTGTGGGCCTTGGGTACTGTAGTGAGGTGGTAGGTCAGCATGTATGGCCACCGGAAATCCTGCCGAGTGAATTAAGCGGCACCTTCCCCACTAAGGGGAGACTGCTGCCCTATACTTGTCCCACCACCTTCCTGCTTAACCTCCATGAATGTTACTCATGTTGCAGGTTTGAGAAAATGATCAGCGGCATGTATTTGGGTGAGATTGTCCGTAACATCCTCATTGATTTCACCAAACGTGGGCTGCTGTTTCGTGGCCGCATCTCAGAGAGACTCAAGACAAGGGGAATCTTTGAAACCAAGTTCCTGTCTCAGATTGAGAGGTATGACTTTGGGGCTAGTGGAACTGTGTCCTCCTTTTTTCTCATGGACAGATAAGCTGAAGAAATTCCACAGTTCAAGTGAGCTTAGGGTGTGGCTTAGACAAAGGTCAGTTTAGTGGTTAACACATTGTTGTATAACATTCTCTTGACAGTTTGTTGAGTGTGGCATGAGGCCATGAAATGTGATAGTGTTGGAATTTAGATAAAAGAGCAAAGCTAGAAAGAAACCTGCTTATAGGATATAAGTTGATATCACAGAGAAAGAAAAACTAACAAAGGGTCTATGCTTCCCAACTGCTGGCTGCAGTAATTGGGCCGCCAGGATTGAGTACAGGTGGATCATGAGGCATCCCATTAGAGCAAAGTCTTGCTTCTCCAGTCTAATGGCAGAAAAGTCAGCTCCAAATTAGAATGGTGAATTTTAGAGCCCTTTAAAAATTAATGCTGTTATTGCTCTCAGGTAATAGACTAGGAACTTGACATGAATAGACCCCTTGGGCATCTGTACCGATGAGTAGAGAAGGGTGTATTCTAGTTTGCATGTCTGTTCATGTGCAAGGAGATGATTCTGGGTTTCTAAAGTATTTTGCAGTGTGTGATAGCATTTATTTTCTTCGTGTAGTTTTATTTACACCCATATCATAAATAGTGCATGACCGCAGGAGTCTAATGCTGGTCAGAAGTGTCTGTGTTGTGCAGAGCCATGGACAGCAATGAGAGAAAGGATAAGAGAATTTTGCAACTGGAAGCTGCCACACACTGGCATTGCCATTGCCTTATTATTTCCAAATGAGTGGGATGTGTAGGCAGTGAGCCTCCTTTGAATAGATAGTGAGCCACCTTCTGTTCTGAATATCAGTTGTATAGTGGCAATGTCACCTTTTATGGCCATTTCTTTTCTTTTTTTTTGATTTTTTGAGACAGGGTCTCACTATGTAGTTGAGACTGACCTGGAACTCACTAGGTAGCCACGCTGATCTTGAATTCCCAGCGATCCTCCTGCCTCAGCCTCCCGTGTGCTAGGATTGCAGGCGTGCGCCACCACGCCCTTTATGTTCTTGACTTTCTTGGGAAGAGTCAGAGTGGTACCATAGGAGGGGCAGTACTCTGATTTCAGGGGCAGGGCCCACTTTGCAGACCCCCAAGGAGCCTCTCTTGATAAGGGAGCTAGGGCCACCACCGTCTCTGGGAGTGACTCACCACTCCTGTCTCCTCCCCAGTGACTGCCTAGCCCTGCTGCAGGTCCGTGCCATCCTGCACCACTTGGGGCTCGAAAGCACCTGTGACGACAGCATCATTGTCAAGGAGGTGTGCACTGTGGTGGCGCGGCGGGCAGCCCAACTCTGTGGTGCAGGCATGGCTGCTGTGGTGGACAAGATACGAGAAAACCGTGGGCTGGACACCCTCAAAGTGACAGTAGGTGTGGATGGGACCCTCTACAAGCTGCATCCTCAGTGAGTATGGCCCTGGCCTGTTGTCTCTTCCCTTCTCCCATTCCATCTTTACCTTATAGTAAATTCTCAGCCATTCCAGAGTGTTTAATGTTTACAGTTTGAAGATTAACAATCAGAAGCAGGCCTGTGATTCACCCCGCAGCACTGGAAGCCTCCTCCTGTGCCCTCCCACGTGCATTCCTCTTTCCCCTGCCAGGGACCACAGCTGGGTTCAATCAGTCTCTTGCTTTAATTTTCCCATGTGCTTAGATATAAATCTCTGAGTGGAATCACATGGTACCTTTTCTGTGACTTTTCTCACACACTGCATGTATGATTTTTAAAAAACTTTTTCTTTCCTTCCTTCCTCCCTCTTTCCCTTTCCTTCCTTCTTCCCTCATTCTTCCTCCCCCTCTCTCATTTTTTTCTCTTCCTCTCTTCTCTTCCCCTTCCTTTTTTGTCCTACCCTTCCTTCCTTCCGGGTGACATCTCTCTATGTTGCTCAGGCTAGCCTCACGGACCCCAGATTTAAGTAATCTTCCTGCCTTGGCCTCCCAAGTAGCTGGGACTATAGGTGTGCACCATCACACCTAGATAGTGTTTATAGTTTTGAAAGGTATCCACATTGAAATGTGCAGTTACACTTCATTAATTTTGGATATCATACCTTTGTATGAGTATGTTATTTCATCTGTTGATGTGATATTTGGGTCATTTGTAAATTTTGGCTATTGCAAACAGTGCTGCTGTGAGTATCTAGCAAATATACAGGTCTCAAGTAAGACTTTTTTTATGGACTAATGCAGAGATTGGCAAATAATGCCACCGACTGCTTTTGTAAATAAAGTTTTATTGAAATGCAGCCACGCCCAAGTGATTATGTATTGGCAATGGTGGCTGCTGTCACAGGGAACAATAATTGCAACAGACCACTTGGCCCGATTGCCCCGAGATGCTGAAAGTATTTGCTGCTTGCTCCTTTGTTGAGAGTTTGCCATCTTCCATTATGGAAATACTAAATTTCATTTTCATTCTACTTTCCTTCTCTATTTCTTCTTTCTCTCTCCCATCACCATTTTGCTTCTCTCTTCCCTCCCTTGTATGTTTTGAATACTTTGTTGGAAAGTCAGGAAGTGTCCCAAATACTATCCCCTGGAAGCTTTTCAGCTAGAAGTTAAAGGGGTAGACCTGTGCCCTAGTAGCAGCAGGCACAAGATGGAGGGGAGGACAAAGAGTCCTGGATTGAACAATGACCCGCACTCTCTGTGTGTGTTGGTTAAAGAGGGAATCATGGAAGACCCAAGTGCCTTTCCTTGATAATCAGTCATATTGTGAAAATAGGAGCCTGAGCTCCAGTTGTGTGTTGAGAGATGGACTGTGTTAGTCAGCTTTCTGTAACTAATAAAAGACCTGAGATAATCTGCCTATAAAGAGAAAAGATTTATTTGGAGGTTTTAAACCATGATTGCTTGGCCTTATTGCTTTTCAGCCTGTAGAAAAGCAGCACACCATGGCAGGAGAGTATGTGGAGTGAAACTGCATACCTTGTGAGTGGAAAGTAGAAAGAGAAAGATAGGGTCCCACAGTGCCTGCCGTGGTCACTCAACCAGTGACATAAATACCTCCCAACTCTTAAATGTTCTAGTATCTCCCCACAGTCCCAAACTTGGGACCAACCTTTTCACACATGGACTCGGGGGGGGGGCATTTCAGATCCAAACTATAGCAGGGATGGAAGAAACCTAGCTAGCAGCCCTAGAGCTTAGTATCCTCCTCTTCACAGATGGTAGGGCATCCAGACCCTGCTGTGTGGGTTGGATAGTGACTGTTTCCTTTTTCAAGTCCCATATGGAGAAAATCACACTAATGCCCTAAGAGCAGCCCTGTACATCTGGTCACCCCTCTCCCGCTTAGGAGTAGAAAAACTTATTGGGGAATAGGAATGGGAATAGCAATAGGGAATAAGAATAGCTCTTGAGAGACAGGAGGGGTCCCGAATGGGCCCTACCTGCCCCTTTTGTTTCCACTTGAGTTTTGGTAATGTGAAGCCTCACTCTTGGACAACATACAACCACACATGTGGGTCTTGGTGCTTCCCTGCAAAGTTTATAAACAGTGAGGCATGTGTGTGGCTTATGACTTAAGAGCAGAATTCACCGAAGGCATTTATCTCATAGTTGAATCTTAATCCCTCAGAGGCAGGCTCTGAGGTAGAATTTGGGCATCTAGCATTTTCCAGTCTTAATTTTCTGGTACACAAGACATAATAAAGGTCTACCATATTGTAGCTGGTATCCTTTTCTTCTTAATTATTCCTGGGGTTCTAGCATCAATTATTAGGGTCTCACCTCTGAGGACATAAATCAACGCATGACTAACATGCTTTTCCCTATGTCTTTTTTACCCTTTCTCCAGCTTTGCCAAAGTCATGCATGAGACAGTGAAGGACTTGGCCCCAAAATGTGAAGTGTCCTTCTTGGAGTCCGAGGATGGCAGTGGGAAGGGGGCGGCTCTCATCACTGCCGTGGCCTGCCGCATCCGTGAGGCCGGACAGCGATAGAACCCCTGGATTGGAAGGGGCATCTCTGCTTCCCCTTTCCCTGTTTAAATTATAAGGTGTCATCCCCTCGTGCCAGAGACAGGACCCCTTGGCTTTTCTTTAGGAGAAAGGACCCCGGCGGACTAGATTTTTGTCTCTGAATAAGTTCACTGTAGAGTTTGGTCCCTAAGCCTTGCATTTTCTGAGGTATAGAATAAGGATTTGTTCACTGTGGTCACAACCATTCCCACTAGTTCACTTTTTAAAAATGTGATTCCCTGGCCAAGTTCCACGTCCGTGTGCAACCCTACAAGATGGAAGCAGTCCTAAAGGTGGGGTTGCCTCCCCTAGGAGCTGAACATGACATTTCTAGGTGGGGAGCATCCCCTTGAATGAACATTGATGCTGATTCTCCAGTGAGAGAACTCAGAGGTTTCCACTAATGATGCAAGCCTGGTCCTCCTGCAAGCAGACTCAGAAGGGCAGAGAGGTGGCGAGTGGAAGGAAATCTCATGGGCACCCATGGGGCATCCTTTCTTTGACGTGAGTGTTTCCCTGTAGAGTCCAGCATTTCCTATTCTGCAGTCAAGGAATCCCAGGTCTGGGCAGTGAAACCAAAGCCAGGAGTTGACACATCCCATGAGTGGGTTCATCTCTGCATCTCACTGTGGGTGCATGGATCATCTCTGAGCAGCGAACCTTTGGGGAAAGGGGAACCTTTGAGATTATTTTTAAAATTTTTCCTGTAAAAGTGGAAATACTGTATTTTAATTTATATGTGAAACTTACTTAGTTCATGAAGTAGGTCTGCTCTTCATTATGTAATTGATTGTATGTAATGTATTTATATATGTTAATTTGTTTTA